CCTTCCTCCTCATTTCTTCCATCTCTTCTTCTTCCTCCTCCCTCTTTTCTTCTTCATATTTTTTCAGTTCATCGTACTTTTTTTCTACATAGCTCTTCATCTCTTTTATTTCACCCTTCAATTGAGCTCCTTCATCCGAGTATTTATCAACCACCCCTTCACCCCGTAAGTTCACTCCTCAAATCCACAACCTCCTTCACCACTCCCTCAAATTTTTCTCCCGTCACCATCTTAATATCACCCCTTAACACCCCAACTTCTTTCACCACTTCACCCCTCAACACATCTACTTCTTTCACCACTCCATCTATTTTTCCTTCCACTACCCCCTTATGCCTCTCGAGTGTATCTTCGACTCTCTCGAGTTTCTCTACGACTTGATCAAGTTTCTCTTCGACTCTTGATTGTCTTTGCATGATTTCAAATTGGATTTTTTTGATATCAGCCAATTCAGACATCAAAAGGTCGAAGTTACTCTGTTTTGCTTCACCGTCGTCCCACTCACCGTCATCCCCCAATACAACCATCCCTCCTTTCTTCTCCTCTGCCTCCACTGCCTCCTCTACATCCTTGCCAATAACCTTCAAAATTAAATTACAATAGTAAGACATTGATTATATTCTTAATATTATTTAATTACATTTATTACCATTTCTTGTTTCTTCCCTCTATCCAACTTCAACTTCACCATCACTCTAACCACCTCTTCCTTCCCCCATGCACGGATGCGTGCCACTCCGGTTCTTTCATAAGCCGGCACTGCCTCACAGCCCGACTAAAAATCGAACAGTGCAACCTGCATTTATAATAAAATTTATATTTTTATATAAAAACACAAAAAAATGATTCAACTCATTTACCTCTAAGATTGCTATGCACCCTTTGAGGTATCTCTGGCTGCCCTTTTTAAAGGTGATGATTGATTCAATCAATCTCGAATGGATATATTCAGCCCAATTGAATTCACCCTTCAAGCCTTCATCGCAAATGAGCTTCATATATTCCTTGTTCGTTGACGTATCACCCGTTGGACAAAGAAATATCCCGACAAGGTACAATAGAACTCGGGCCTTCAGCTCATCCCCCAGTAAGATCCACTTTTGATATCCTCTTCAACTTCAGCATATGTCACCTTATGATTCAAACCATATTTGGAGGCAAGTGCTTTCCAGTTCTTACTCCTACAGACTTCTATAACACTTTTGCCTTTGTTTTGTACCCCCAATACGGCTGCAGCAGTCGATACCCCCAGAGGGAATGAATAATCACCATACTTAGCCATACATTGACTGACGTCAAATTGTGCCATCAAGGATCGACACAATTCCCTCCGAATAGGTTGATCCCTTACTCCGATCAACGATCCAAAACCTATTTCTCCCAGCACATTCAACTGACCCTTCTCCTTAAGGTGTTTAATTAATAAATTCACCCTTTTAATGCTGCATCTTGTCGACACTTCCTACATTTTTTAACAATATATAATGTTATAGTTCTTATATATTTTGTATCAACGTATTTACAAGTTTAATGAATACCTTATTTTCATGTGCTTTCCTCCGTTCTTTGTATTCTTTACTATCATTCCTTGACTGTGTGATGTAAGGTTCCTTTTCAGCATCACTCATTGAATTCCATTTGGACCTCACATCTTTTTTCACCTAATATTAAACATAAACGTTTCTTAATCAATACATTAACACTAAATACTAATACTACTCAATGTCAATTTCATTTTACATACCGAACCGCTCTGTGTGCCATCTCCCTTCATCCTTTTGCATTCGGCTATACTGTTAACATTTAAAATTTGTAATCAATTTAAAGTTTATCGATACTTTAATCCAATTACCATTTCAACAATAATAACAAAAAGACATTGATACTTACTAGAAGTACATATATCCACCCTTTGGTTGCTTTCGAGTCTCGGCCTCAATATCAAAGTCATCTGCTCCACCAACAATTTTCCAACCCATTGACTCCATTTTTCCTTCATATATCAGTTTACGCAAATCAAATTATTTTGTTACATACACTTTTCAATATACAAATATAGATAACTACTCTTGTGGTAAAACGGTTTTCTTCAAAAGAATTTGAATGGCCACACCAAAATGTGTCGGCACATTTATACAACCTATAATATCATTTTCTACCTATAATATTTAATAAAAGTATCGACATTTATATTTTCCTTGAATATCTATTTCTACATGCAATCGGTCCCAAATGCTTCCTTACTCCAAAACCCCAAACAACACATAAAAAACCCTATCGCGATTACTGTAATAATAAAAAATTAGGGTTTCGACAACATACTTTTCGATTCGACTGCATCAACAAACAAACAAACTTCGCTTTAGAAACGCCTTCTGAAATGCAGCAACAATTACTCTTCGATTTCAAAAACTCGTCCGTTCTATCTTTTTTCAGAGGATATTTAGCTATGGCCTTTATATTTTCATCGGATATGTTATTTATATTTAATCGATACAAATACAAAAGTGTCGATACTTTTATGTCAGGTGTCGATACTTTCGAAAGGATAATTACCTATTTCTTTGAAAGTGTCGATAATTTATTACACGTACTTACGAAAGTATCGACACTTTAAATATATCCGGTATCATTTTACCGGTTTTATCATTTTGATACCGGTTTTATCATATTTTTACCTGTTATATCGTTGTGGATCGATATATTTTTTTAAAGTATCGACACATTATAGGCGCTATAACTGCTTCTCTTTTAAATTCACAAAGTGTCGATCCTTATATAACGTATCGACACTTTTAAATTTATCGGTTTTATCATTTTGTTACCGGTTTTATCATATTTTTACCTGGTATATCGTTTTGGATCGATATATTTTTTAAAAGTATCGACACTTTTTAGGATTTAAAACTGCTTTTAAAGTTATGTAATTTATGTTTCAATTTATTTAACAGTGTTTCATGTTTTCCACCTACAATATTAATTTAATAATTTAATTTACACAAAATTTTATTTGATTGTTTTGATATTTTATAAAATATTATTTAGAATTTAAATTTAAAAATATTAACCAAATATAATAATAAATATATTTTCAACAGTGAAATAAGTATGGACACTTTTATAAAAATGATATATACTTTTTTGAAAGTTATGTAATTTATGTTTCAATTTTTTTAATAGTGTTTCATGTTTTCCACCTACAATATTAATTTAATAATTTCATTTACACAAAAAATTATTTGATTGTTTTGATATTTTATAAAATATTATTTAGATTTTAAATTTAACAATATTAACTAAAGATAATAATAAATATATTTTCACAGTGAAATAAGTATGGACACTTTTATAAAAAGGATAGATAATTTACAATATAACAGGTAAAAATATGACAAAACCAGATTCATTATGACAAAACCGGTAAAATTTACTTGATATGTTAAAAGTATGGACACTTTTATAAAAAGGATAGATACTTACCGATAACCAAAGTTTACCGGTTACCAAATTTTTTAATAGTTTTTCATATTTTCTACCTAAAACATTATTAGTTGTCAACATAATAGGTACCGCTAAACCGAATTTATTAAATACATTTTAATGTATCCGGTAATGCTGTATATTAGCCGTATATTAACCCGCCTTTCCTGAGACATTCCCATGATTTAATAGTGTTTTCAGAAGTTAATTTGGAGATGATAAAAAAAACATCAGTTGAGTATTAAAAATCTTTAAAGTTATCTCAGAATTAAAAAATGAGCTAACCCTTAGTCTCATATGTAATGGGATAAGGAGAGGTAGGATAGTAAGCGAGCAACTTCCGTAGAAGACCTCCAAATTATAAAAATACCCTCCATGGGACTCCATCTCACGACTCCAAGGTTAAGAGCCTTGTGCTCTACTAAATGAGCTGGAAGGTCATTTCTTATCTCAGAATTAAGATTCAATATATTCAAGTCAAAATTGTACGGGATGAGAATGTTATTATGGAATGGAGAGCAACGATAAAACGTGATTGGGATAAATTCCCTACAAACTACTTAGGTTTTCTTTTGGGTCAATTGAAAAATCCTTCAGAATTGTGGAAATCTACCAGTGTACTGTTTGTCATTCTCCAGACGTCTGCTTCAGTAACTTCTAATATGAATAAATTGATAATACATTTTTTATGGGGATCTGTCTCTGACAAAGCTATTCATTGGGTGAAGTGGGAGTGAGTGTGTACTTTGTGGCTACAAGGTGGTTTGGACTTTTTCGATTTGAGGCCTAGAAATCGGTCTTCACTAAATAAATGAAACTGAAGATTTGGTCATGAGTTCGATTGCTTGCTGAGGAAAATTATGGTATGGTTACGATAATGTGTCATTGTTTCCGGACTTTGTTCGTTCGAGAAAAAACATCTTAGGAATGGAGAAACATCACTTCTCCTATCTTTAATGTTGATCGCGTCTTTTATAGGTTTGTTGTAGGTGATGAGAGGTCCATTGAATTTTGGGAGGATAATTAGACTGAGGTTGGTTTTCCCATGGATCTACGCCATTGCTATAAAGAAGAAAAGCAAGGTTAGTGAGTCTGGATGCAAATCGAATGGTTTATGGTCTTGGAACATTGAAATTAGAAGGATACTTTTCGAGTGGGAACATAGTATCTGGGATGATTTTATGAATACATTAAATAGAGCAGATAGTCGTTATGAAGTGGACTGTCTAATCTGGAAGGGTGACTCATTGGGGCTATATTCTCCAAAACATTTCTATGAAAATTCAGAGTGCGTTGGGGGTGGAAAAAGATCATTTTTTAAAATTGGTGTGGGCACACCTTGCCCTTCCTAAGGTGGAGGCATTTGTTTGGAAACTTGTTCTCCAACGATTTCCTACGTTAATAGAATTAGCAAAACGGGATATATCGAGTCTCGAATCTTGTTTATACGTGTTGTGTCGTGATGAGCAGGAATCTCCGAAACATTTGTTTTGTCATTCAAGGTGGTGTGGAGACCCTGGTTAAGATGGCGCTCTCTTTGGAATCTTAATTTTATTATCCCAGGTGATGTAAGAAGCCTTCCCATGGTTTGGAATAGCCAACCGATAAAAAAAAAACCCTCCCAATCTCGTTAGCTGCACGAATTTATCCAAATTCACGATGACTACGCTTATTAAGTCACTAATCAAGGCCGAGGACAGAGTGAGGAGTCCCAACTCAGAGTTGATGATCTTCAGATGCATTAAAAGGATGGCCACCACCGGAAAAGGCGTCAACATTAGTACGCCGGTGAAAAGCGCAAAGCGTTCCAGGTAGACTTCGTCGATATGGTCAACGTTCAAGCTTATTTCTGTCGCGGTGTGGACGCCGAGTAGTAGAGGGAATACGATCACCAACGAGCCTATAGTCCATTCCCTTTTCCCTGATTTCCTGATCAGGTTCACATCCATCTTGACACCGATCAAGAACATGAAGAACAACTACCCGAACCGTGTCAACGTAGTTAGGACTTTCACAGACTGTCGGGGGAACAAAACCGATGATATGTTGGGAAAGAACCGGCCGAGAACAGACGGTCCGAGAATGATACCTGCCTGCCATGTGCACAACATTCCAACATCATAACCACCAAATTCCGTACATTTTCACGTCAAAAAACAAAAGAAACAAGAATCAAACACCATTGTTGTTACCAGAACTTCCGATGTAAGACGGGGCAAATATAGTAGGCCGAGAACGAGGTGGAAGATGGTGGCGAGGATGAAAATAATAGCTAATTGGAGCTGTAAAATGATTAGGTGATGCTTGAAAATATTGTCGTCACCTTTCTGGTTAAACAATCCTTCGGAAGTGACTGGGATGACATTCCAGCAGGGATCCATCGACCCTGTAGTTAGGATCCAATTAATTGATAAACGAATCTGCCATAGCAGCTTTCTTGCTTCTGGCTTGATGAAGAACATTAACCCTTTTTGTTTTGGAAAACAATGGAGTTAAATTTGGAGAGAAATGGATGGAAATATTTGGAAGAATACGGAGAGTACCCTTTGGGATTAATGGAGCATACGATTTTTCATTAGGCACTGACCAACTGTTTTTACAGTTTCTATTATTATTATTATTATCTATATGCAAACCCATTGATAATAAAAACTCATTCGGTACTTGTAATTTAAAATATATACTCATTATCATATCTATTTTGTTTTTTTTTTCTAATGGAATGATATCTATATTTTGTTAAAATATATATAGGGCCAGAATTATTTTTATTATTATATTACAGTACATAGGTTAATATCACTATTAAATGTTTTGTTGAAATTTCGTATATTATCATGTCACTATTAAAAGTTAACATTGCTAATGAATATCAAATTAATCAATCAATATTCGTATATATTATAATAATAAAAAATGATAAATAGTTAATATTTACGTATACTCATAATTTTATCTACAGAATATGTATTTATTGTTAATAAGTAATGTGTAATTCAACATATTATTTAAAACTGATCAACAGTTGATATAGCTCATTACATAACTAACTCAACTAGACTAACAACCTTTACCACATCCAACTGCTACTTAACTGGTCTAAGAAGTTCAACAAACTGATTCTGGCAGTTTTCAACATTCACCCTACTTCTCATTTCTTCACGGGAATGAACATTAAACTTCTGTCGAAATAAACTGAAGTACACACTCTTAACGGTTTTTTCGGACCATCAACTAATTTGACATAATTAACTTTCAAGTTGTCTGCTACCATCTTTCAAACAAAGTGATATGGAGCTCTACATGGTTGGAACGAACATGAAAAATGAGATTAACTCTCATAGCTACTGCACTTATATTATCACGGAGTAGAACGTTTTACTTCTTAACTCCCATATGTTTAAGCATTGCAGTGAGCCATGTGAGTTGAGAGACAGCATGTGTTATACTTTTGTACTTGGTAGATGGAGACACAAACTTTTGTTTCTTTGAGCTGAGGATATCATGTTGAGTGAGTACCCAAAGATGAGACATGAGAAGAATTATTTGTGAAGAGGAATTTTCTGCAGAGATGTGATCAACCTGTTGAGACTAATGAATCTGAATCTTCCCCGTGATATAAGACCCCCAAACAATTACCCTTCAAATGAGTATTTTGCTACTTGTTAACGGCATGAAACATAACCACAAAGATGAATGGTTTAAAGTCATGCAACAAGAAATGCCATTTTTGCATGAGAATCAAACCTATGAACTTGAGAAACTGTCCAAAAGAAGAACAAATCTCAAGTACAAGGCTAAAATTGGCTGTAATCAGAAAAAGAAAATTCTCAATTGAGAAACTTCTAAGGATATTCAACATGCATAAATTAAAGTCAGTTAGTGTTCCACTTGTTGACCATTTCAAACTGAACAAAAATCAAAATCTCCCTATTGGAAAAGAGGAAGATTTAATAAGCATCCGCAATAGGGACATTGTCCATTGGAAAGGTGTAATTAATATGAATTTTTTGGTATTTATACACAACATCCAAGAGATATGTTATGCTTTGGGAAGGAGAATCGAGGATACAAATAGTTGGAGATTGGAGATGTTTGACTCAAAAAAATCAACATCAAGTTATGTGATTACTTTTTCCTAGAAAATTGTTTTATAGTCAAAGCTCTAGAGATGTGTGACACTATCAGTAATCGAAGTCGAATATAACTGAAGCTTACAAAAAGTTGTTATGGATGAAGTAAGAGAATTATGTTCTTAATTGTGCTAGTCAAAATGTCATTCATTTAATAAAGAATCTAACATATCATTCTCGAATAAGACATATTAATTTTCATTATCAGTAGACAAAATATGTGTTAAAAGAAAATTTGCTTGGTTTGAATAAAGTTTGTATTGGTCAGTTTATTTATTCATGTATATTAACTTAGGAATGGAGAGATTAGTTGGGTACGTCCCTACTTAATTGATGAATAGATATATCAAATGTTTGGTGGATGTATCAACCCATAATCATGTATGACATTAGTTAAAATTGTACTTCTTAGTTACATTTATGTATGATGAATTTGTTTAAAAACCTTATGTGATGACCATTAGGTTACCTTGTTGTTCTACTAAAAATATGTGACATTAGGAAGACTTTGTAACATTAGGAGAGTGTGAATGAGACAACTGTGAGAGATACAATAATCCTCTGAATGAGAAATGAAAAAGAGAGTTTATATTAAATTAGAGTCTTAAGATTTTTTTCAATATGAGTTTTCTGTATACTAAAATTATGTATATTCTTTTTATTTTTTATTTTGCTTTAGTGCATGTTGTTGTTGCAAAGAGAAAATTAGGGTTCTATACTTTTTCCAACAAAATAACTTCTGTTGATGGAAATCTAATTAGCTCAACACTTTAATATTATAGGTTTAAAGGAATCTAATAAATTTTATAAAATGTTTTTAAAAATATAGAATGTTATATTATAAATTGAGAAGGTGTGGAATTATAAAATTTAAAAAATTAAATTAAATACTCAATAGAAAATATAAAAAAATTCTAAATTATAGAAAATTTTAAAATTTTTAGAAATATAATCGCACTTAGTATACCCTTGGATCACCCTTGATCTGAATCCATGGTAATATACATTAGTACAACAAATCTTACAAGTATTCTGCAAAAAACAATATCCTAAAGTCTGGAATCTGGATATTAACTATTAGGGTACATATGTATAACATATAATAATGTTAGTGTTTACGGGATTACATATACAAGGAGCATCAGCATTAGGGAAAATCCAGTAAACCAAGGCTAATGTCACAGTCCGAATCCAATGGCAAACTTCTTGGTCTCTTTGGATCACGTGCCCATTTAAAGCAATGATCTTTGCGTGAAAGAATGCAAGCAACCCTTCAGTTCTCTCATTTTCCAATGACCTGTTGTTGAACCACAAACACAGAAACTGTTTTACTGATCTCTGATGAAGCTAGCATATCTCCGATGGCCCCGAGCTCTTGCAAATCGACCCATGCCGATAAGCCTTTAACGAGCAGCGAGGAAGAGTTCGAGTGTCGTCCCACTAAGATAAGATTGTAGTTTTCATCCAACAGGGACCCAACAATCAATGATGTATCTAACCCATGTCTTACTATCTCTTGTAAAAAACATTGTTGTTCTCCCTGCTTTGGTGTTTCATATCTGTCAAGCAATCTTCTGGGGAAATCGGGTTATTTCCCACACGAACGTAGTTTCAAAATTGACCTAAAATGTCAAGATCAAAACCACCAAAGGTTGCACAACGGATAAACCTATCAAACTATTGAATATTGAAACACAATGGAAAAAACCGAATAAAAACAATAAAGGAGAGAATACACCAAATTTACGAGGTTCGACGAGAATATCGTCTACTCCTCGGGCACTACATCGGATGATAACTTCACTATATCGCCAATATTACAACAAATAGAATTCTTTAGAATTCCCAAAGTGGGAGAATGAAGAATACAAGAGGAAGCGAGAACTTGTTTTTAGGATGATTTCTAATGAAATACTTAGGTCTATTTATAGTTGAGTTTTAAGGACTAAACTTATAAATAACCTAATATTTTAGGGATCAAACATGAAAAATAAGTTGGCCACCTACCAAAGAATTTTCCAATGTGTACAAGTTAGCCACCAAATATGAAATTCACATGTTCAAAGTTTGGCCACCATCCAAAATGAAATTTCCAATAAGTTGGCCACCAACCAAGATGAAATTTCCAACTTGCCAACTTAATTTCAAGCCAAATCTAACAAATCTCCACCTTGACTTGAAATTACCAAGCATACTCAACTTCTTCAACTCCCCAAATTTGTAGTGCCTCTAATTGTGCTCACAAGCACCACACACCCGAAGGTGTTCATACTTTCAGGATGTTAATCAAGTTCAAACAATGATTGAAGTTGATTACTGTTACCACCTTGGTCATCATATCTGCAGGATTTTCTGATGTCGCAATTTTCTGAAGTAGAATCTTTCCTTCTTCAAAGATCTCCCGCACAAAGTGATACCTCACGTTGATATGCCTAGTCCTTAAATGGTAGACTTGATTTTTTGCTAAGTGAATAGCGCTTTGACTGTCACAATAGAGACTAATGTGACTTTGAACAACTCTCAAGTCTCCCATCAACCCGTTAAGCCAAATTGCTTCATTTACAGCCTCTGAAACTGCCATGTATTATACCTTTGTAGTAGACAAGGCCATCGTAGATTGCAATGTAGACTTCCAACTTACTGGGGCTTTAGCAAGAGTAAACAAATACTCAGTAGTTGATCGACGCTGATCAAAATCACCAGCATAATCAGAATCAACATATCCAACCACACATTGACCAAGTGTTTCATCCTGTTCAAAAACTAAACCAACATCCACAATTTGTTGGAAATACCGTAGAATCCATTTCACAGCTTGCCAATGTCCTTCTCCAGGATCATGCATGTACCTGCTCACAACTTCAACTGCTTGTGAAATGTAAGGACGCGTACACACCATTGCATGCATCAAGCTCCCAACTGCATTAGCATATGGAACTTTTTTCATATACTCTCGTTCTTCGTTAGTTTTAGGAGATAATTGAGAACTAAGTTTCAAATGAGAAGCCAGTGGGATACTTACATGTTTGGTATTTTCATTCATGCCAAAACATTGTAATACCTTTCTCAGATATTGCTTCTGTGTTAAACAAAGCTTCCATCGCTGTCTATCTCTACATATCTCCATACCAAGAATCTTCTTGGCCTCGCCTAGATCTTTCATCTCAAACTCTTGATTCAATTGAGCCTTTAATTTGTCTATCTCTTTTTTACTCTTCGAAGCGATCAACATATCGTCAACGTACAAG